TCACCCAGACCTCTGGACCTTTTCACATGCTCTTCCTCTGCTTCATGTTCTGTTCTTCACTCGGCTGCTTAAAACCCCCTCCTATCCAGTCTTGACACTCAGTTCAGAAGTGTCAAGTCCACTTGGAAATTTTGGCTCTCCTGCTGTCATTGATTGGCCCTTTCTCTGTGTTTCTCACTCATTCTTCTATTATTATGTCCATCATCCATCCATCCATCCATCCATCCATCCATCCATCCACCTATCCATCCATCTGTCCATCCATCCATCCATCCACCTATCCGTCCATCTGTCCATCCATCCATCCACTCAACTATCTACTCATATTTATTGAGCACCTACAGTATGCATCTCTGGCCATGCCATTTTGAAGTTTTGCACAGGTCTGACCATCCCTGGACTGGTGGATTTTCATGTTTTAACAGGGGCCCAGGGCATCCTCCTCCAGAATGCCAAATGTTTGCCACTGTAGAGCCATGATTCATGACTGCCCCTGAAGCCAAGATCTCAGTTGTGACAGGTCTGGTTACGTCCTGCTTAGATCCCCCTTTGAGGGTGAGGACCTCATTCCCAACAATTGGTAGAGTGGGTGGAATACTCCTTTGAGGAAACTGCCTCACCCAAGCTCTTGTCAACTTCTAACAGGATGATCTTCGAATAACAGATGGGAATGTAAAGTCCGGCCGGAACTTCCTGTGGGGAAGCCTCCCAGTTCAACTTCTCTTCTGCTCAGTTCTGCCTCTGCTCTTCTCCACGTTTTCCCTGAGAGCACTTTCTATTCAACACCTACATGCTCGTCTGCATCTCCCAGTCTTCCTCCGGAGGACTCACTAGGTTGAAGGTCCTACAGAAGTTCTACAGAAGTTCCTTAAGGACAAGGACTGTGTCTCAATCCCTCCTCAACCTACCACTGGGCCTGGTACAATCCAGATACTCCAGAAATATCCATTGAGAACATGTAGCGCATGTTCTTGTGCTTCTCCATTCGGACCCTCTGCTGGCCCCAGGTAGAAAGTTCTCATGAGATGACCAGAAGGATTGGGGGGCAGTAGGGTCTGAGTTTAGTCCTGTTACTGGGAAATGGACTAGTTGCTAGTGAAACTGTAGCTAGGGAATAAAAGTCAAGCTAATTTGCTACTCTAGAGTGGGGCAAAGGGGCTGCTGGTGTCAGGGCTGTGTTTAGGGAGAAGCCTCAGTGAGGTGGGGACTTGCAGCTGGTGGCAATGCATGATAGTGGGTGTAGCAGTGGTCAGAACTGCCTCTCCCTATGGGGCAAATCCCTTAGATGTTAGTTTGGTTCCAAGACCTGCAACACCCCATTTTCCCTCTTGGAGAGTCCTTTACAGAACACATCTCTACAGAGTGCTTCCTCTGTGGCCTCCAAAGGCTGGACTGTTCCTTTTCTCTGTCGCTCTGTCCCCTGGCCTAGTGCATCACATCCCCATCGCTCACAATTAAAACCCCAAACCAAACCCATTGTCATCGAAATGACTCTGACTCCACAGGGTTTCTAGGTGGCCTTGTGGTAAGAACCTGCTCTGCAATCCCAAAGGCACTTGGTTCTAATCCACTTGCAGCTTCACGAGAGCAAGATGGGGAATTTCCTCCCACTGTGAGTTGGTTTTGACTCGATGGCACGTCACCACCACCACCACCGCCACGAAAGCAGATAGTCACAGCTTTGTCTAGCAGGTGGTTAGGTGAATGGGTTTGAACCACCAACCTTAGGGTTAGCAGCCAAGCCCTAACAACTGTGCCACACGGCTCACTTAAGTTGACATCTACTGAGTGGCAATTATGTCTGTTCCTGGCACTGTGCTGGGTGCTCTGCATACAGGGTTCCATTCCATCTTCATAATCATTTCACGAGGAGATACATACTTATTGTTGTTCCTTCTTTGTAGACAAGGGAACAGGCGTAGAGAGTTTTGGCAACATGCCCAAGATCACAGCTATTACAGGGCAGAAGGAGAGGCCAAGCCAGGCCCAGTGGAATCCAGGGTCTGGACGACTACAGCGCCTCATGGCTAGGAGTGTCATTTCTATAGCGGTGGAGAGTACAATTGACTCCAGCACACTGAACTATTAGAGATTAGACAACATACGGACATGAGAGGGACTGACGAGTGTGCAGTGAATGGCCCATTCCACCGTCTCCTCCCCATTCCCTTCTCCCTTGGTCTCCGCACTCCTCTGGCAGGAAGAAGGGGTCCTTTGGTTATCTTGTCAAGGACAAACATCTGTCCACAGTCCAGCACAGTGCCTGGCACGTGGCCAGTGCTCATTGACTCCTGTCAACTCAGATTGTCTGGGAGTCCCATCCGCTACAAGTTGGGGACCCAACACGGCTCATCCTTTGTCCCTGACACAGAAAACCGCAGCAAGCATCCAGCAGAGAGATCTCGTGGTGCTCCACTCTCAAGCCACTGGGTTCCTCTGCTGCTTCTCAGCAAAATGAAGCAGAAACAGAAGCGGCTGATCCCTTGTGCTCTCACGGCAGAGAAAGATAAAGAGTGGAGGGAGAGGTGTTCCAGGGCCTGCCTGGAGCCTCAGGTCTCTCCCACGGGTAACTCCAGCCTGCCCTCAGCCACACAGTCCCACTGCAGACTTCTTCAGATATTGCGGGCATTAACCTTCCTCCCACCGCAGGCTCCTGGGAGAGGCGGTGGGCATGTAAGCACTTAAAACGCGGACCTGCAGGTCAGCTGGCCGCCCTCCTCCCACCGTGCGGAAGCCCTGAAGCTGGCAGCTGCGTGGGGACCGGCACTACAGCCTTGGAGAGACAAGCCACATCCCCAGCCTCCCTCAACCTGTGCAAGCACCAAGTTGCCATGGCGACGCTGCAGCCCTGAGATGCAATGGCTGCAGACAGCATGGGTGGTTCTGAGGCTCAAAGGCGAGGGTGGACGCTGCCTGGACCCGGAGGCCAGGCGACTGGGTGGGCTGGATGGAGGAGGATCAGAACTCTGCTCTAGGCGGGCTTGTGATTGCCACAAAGTAAAGGGCTGTCATTGAGCCCAACATGCGTGCGGGCGAGGCCTCCTCAGCTCTGCACCCTGTAATTACTGCAGCAGACAGCAGCCGAGCTGCCTTTGCCGGGAGGGCTGAAGCGGACTGGAAACACTCTTCTACCTGAGAGGGAGGTGAGGAAGGAGGCCCCTCCTTGCAGCCTCTCCTCATAGTACCCAGCTTCCTCTACTCCTGGCCTCAGAATCAAAGGGAGGTAGAAGTCCAGGAGCCAGATAAGGTGCGGCCTTAGGATTACATCTCCTTGCTGCAGACCCCGGTCCTAATTCTTCCCAAGCATAATGACTCTGGGGACCTCATAGCAAACCCCTACCCCGCCCCAGCCTCAGTTTCCCAATGTGTAAAATTGAGAGCAGGGCTCAATTCTTTCAGGATTTTTGCTACCTCAGGGTCAGAGAACTACAGCATGTGGGTCAGAGGCTGCTGTGTAAACCGGGTCCATTGGAACTGGACCCGTGCATGGACCTGAGGCCTGGACGATGGTCGGTCCACTCCACACTGGCTCTCCTATTTCTGTGCGGTGGCTGCTTGGCGTGCAGTGGTGGGGTTGAATAGCTGTGACAGGCGCCACCAGAAAATATTTACTACCAGCACTTTGAGCTGAAAATATTTACTATCTCACCCTTTAGAGAAAGTTTGCCAACCCATTTCTTAAGTATTAAAATCCCACAGGCTTAATGGAGCTCTGATGGGTACAATTTGATTGGAAAAATTTTATAACAAGCCCCACTCTGCTCACCCCACGGCCTCCTAGAGCCCTCTTCTGTCCCCGTTTCTCTTGGAAAGAGCCCACCTGGATATGGGTAAGGTGAGGGGTGGGGGCTCTGGCCACCATACTGCTCTGCTGGTACAATGGCGCCACCTGCTGTGAGTGTCTAAAATCACTCCTGACTGGGGGTGAGGAGTTGGGGTGGGGGGGTGGTTTCCCAGGGGAATCGGCTCAGAGGCAGCCTGGACTGGGTCTACCCACCATCAGAACTAGGGTCTCATTCCCTGCTCATTTTAAGACAGTCCTGGCATCTTGAGGAGTGGAATGACCAGTGTGAAGTGAAGGCACAAAGGACCCAGGGCAGATGGGCTCGCGTGAGGCCCACAGTGCTGAGATCAAACTGCCGCCTCGCCCTGGGGGTGTTGGGAAGGAGTTTACAAATAAACACGTGACTCTTCAGCCTGTTACCCATATTGACTCATTTAATCTTTGGAATGAGAATGAGATCAATATTGTCGTCCCCGATTTACAGATGAAGACACTGTGGCACAGAGAGGTCACACAACTCGTATAAAGTCACACAGCTGCTCAGAGTCGGGAGGACTCAAACCCAGGCTGCGGAAATGGGTAGTTCCCAGAACACGCTGCTCAATCAGCACACCTTGGTGACTGCTTCCTCTGGGGGGTGTGTGTGTGTTGGGAAGGGGGGGGTCCCAGGGAATGGACAGGGGGCTCAAGACAGGAGCCTGCAGCGCTGGAGGCCAGGATGATGACTGGCCCTCCCTGCCCCCACCTCCAGCCAAGTGAGAACGGGTTTCAGGCAACTCAAGGTGGCCAGTGGAGCGTAAACCATTTATTTCCAACTATAAATAAATGTGCTCTTCCAGCAAAGACGCCCTCCAGGTGTGGAGGCCCCAGTCTCTCCAGCTCCCTTCCCAGTGGCTCTGCAGTCCACACTCAGGCCCCAGAAGCCTGCTGGGCCTCTGGAACCACGACCTCGGTGCACCGCCCTTCCCTCGCTGTGTCTGCAGCACAGCTGGGCCCAGACGAGGCAGGTCCTGGACCATGTGGCTGGGGCTTGTCCCATTTGTAGGAAAGGGTGCAGCCACAGGTCCCTCCCTGACCCAGCTGCACAGGGAGTCACTGTCCCTGACGCCCAGATGGGATCTCTCCGTCCTGCCCTCGCACTACTAAGAAGAGCCCCCAGCGGCCGAGAGGGAGCTGCAACCCTGGTGGCAGGCGGGGGCAGGCTGCTCTGGCGTGTCCCTGGCTGGTCACTGCAGCTCCTGGGCCATGAAGTACTCTTCCTCCTCATTGTCCTCCTCGTTCTGCCGGCTGTTCCGAAGCAGCAGTTCCAGGTCGGGGCTGGAGCCCAGCCCCTTCAGGGGTTTTGAGCCACCATCACCTTGGGACAGAGTGACAGTCACGTTCTAGCAAGCTGCGTCACCACACCACCACATGCCCACTCTCTGGAGGAGGAGGTCAAAGCCCCTGCTCACTCCGAGCCAGAGAACGGCCCAGGTGGATGCAGCAGAGCTTTGGAGACCACCAGGCTGCACTGCTTCATGGGATGCCGTGAGCCACAGTCAGCTCTTCTGGGCTACATGTCATCAGATCCCTGGGCCTGGAAAGGGGTGTGCTTACCTCTGGAGTGTAGGGCTTTGAGGGCAACGTGCAGGGAGATTCCTGAGAGGCAGAGGGCGAAGCCCAGCCAGTTCAGGAGGCTGATCTGGTCGCCCAGCAGGTGTGCCGCCAGCAGCAGGGTGCAGACTTCCTGGGGCAGAGAAGCAGGAGGTGTGTCATCTGAGGGATGGGTTGTACAAACAGGGCGGTTCCGGGCACAGCCAGACCCCAAAATGTCAGGGCCCAGGAGGAGCAGGTTGGCCGCAGGGCGAAGGCAGGTGCCCAGGGCTCAGAGGACCTGGCTGCCAGTGCTGCTAGCGCTCGTGTGTCACAGAGACATGCACTGTCAGGAACTGAAGAGCCCAGGGCAGGCGGCAGGGGGCATGTCCTTCTACTGCCCCTGTCCCGGGGGAATCAGGACAGACAGACACAGTGACCAAAATGGGACTAGAGAGACGGTCATTTCTGGAACACAGGTTGTGTCTCGGCTGGTTGGCTGGCCACCGGAAGACACTGGGGGAGACGTTATTTCCACGTTTAGGCAACACTGCTCTCACTTCAAGGGTAAAAACCTGCCATGGCCACGAGCAGGAAGGGGGGAAGAAGTGACGGCAGGGATTGGGGAGAAGTGAGGAGACTGCAGAAGAGAGGGGACAGGGAGGGAGAAGAGCAAAGCTGCCAGATGGCAAAAGGGCAGAGGGCAAACCTGGCACTACTCACTCCTGAGATAAGAGTTTATTCAATGACAAGCCCATGGCAGACACTGCTAATCAATCAAGAATCTATTCAATGATGAGGCCATGGCAGACATTGCTAATCAACCACGGATCTCTTTAAGGATGAGTCTAGATCTCGAGCTTCTGAATCCATGGCTGCAAGCCATCACTGCACGGTCAGAGTCGATGTGCACAGGAGGCAGTGACTGCAGCCCAGGCCTTGTGCAGCCAGACCTGGCCCTGAATCCTGGCCCAGTCACGTCAAGCTGTGGGTTGTCCTTGGACAGGCTCTGTTCTCGGTCACTGTTCCCCATCTGGGCGAGGTGAACAGTCACCTCACTGTGAGGCTGTGTGACGACCGGCTGGAGGATGGACATGGGCGTGGTGCTCAGTGCTGGCTGGGCACCGAGGTGCTGCAGCCTCTTACCCACAGGCCCTGGGCGCAGCGCAGGCAGAGGCTGCTGTCTGAGAAACACACCTGGGGGCTCCCTTTTAAGAGAGAATGGGGTGGCCTTGGAGTGTGTACCTTAAAAATGCCAGCGATGGAAAGCGTGAGGCTGGAGGTTCTGGAGACCAGGAGGAACTCGGAGAAGCCCAAGCCGAAGGCGAGGATGCCACCAAGGAAGAGGCTGCCAAGCACTCGCAGCAGCAGCCCCGTGTCCTGGAACCGGAAGATCTTCTCCGATGTGGACAGATGGAGACCTGGAGACAAGGCGAGAGAGTGGGGGCTGCGTCCTGGGCGCCTGGGCACCCCTGGCCTGCCCCAGGGGACCTGCCACCAGCAGTGACCACTTCCTGAGCACTTACAGACTGAACCCAAAGAGAGGGGAGGGCAGACAATCAGCTCATAGTGTCTGAGACGTGGGGGCCCCAGGCAGCACAAGGCAGGCTCCCGAAAGGAATCAGGGGAGAGACTGCCTCCTCCACAAGACAGGACCTTCTACTGCTGGCCAGGGAGAGTAAACAGAAGGTCACTTCAATGGTCTCAAGTACAGGGACAACTAGTGGACTGAAGAGGAACAGGACGGCTACTGGATGAGGAATGTCTGGCCACTGGGGAGTCCCTTGGTCTAAATTTCTGCCATACGCCATCTGTAAACCAAGAAGCAAAGCGTATAACATGTTGGTTGTTAACGGAAAGGTTAGTGGTTCAAATCCACCAGCTGCTCCATGGGAAAAAGAAGAGTCATCTGCTGGAGAATTACAGCCTCAGAAACTCAATGGGGTCCATTACAAGTCGGGAGTGACTCGCAGCAGCTGGGCTGGTTTTGGCTTATCTGTAAACACAGCTCCATCCCTGCCAACCTCCTCTGTCCTCCCTGGCTGTGAACCTGGACTGTGGCCTGTCCCCTCTCACCCCAGACCAGTTTCTCCACTAATAACAAGAGAAAGCTGGAACTAGACCAGTGTAGCTCCAACACGTAGTAAAACTGTATTTCTCAAAAAGAAAATACATCATCCCCCAAATACACATACAACCATATGAGAGAAGTCCTGGCTCCTTGCTTCAGAAAAATTCTCTCTCTCTCTCTCTCACACACACACACACCCCCCACACACACACACGCTTGCTTGGATTTTCAGAAGATTCCTGAGCTCCCTGATGCTGTATCCATCAGAGAGAAAGACTGCGGGGGTCCTCCGAGGCCTTGGTGTGCTAACTGTGTAAGGGGAATCCTAAACCGGGCACAGGGGGAGTGTGGCCACCAGAAGGCCATTCGGAGCATTGGAGAGACGCGCCACGGAAATGCCAAGTGACAGCTCCCCGCGGGCGCCCGGGTGCCCGATGTAGGACATCTCGCTTGGTGCTGGGCTCAGCAGTACTGCAAAGGCGTCGGCAAATTGAACGGAATTTGGGGAAGAGCAACATAAGTAATGAAGGCGCTTGGGGGATTAATTTACCAGAAAAGATTAAAGGCGCTAAATCCATGCAGCTTTGCTAAGTGACGACTAACACGGGCTTTCGGATGCAGTGTGCAGAGATGGGAATGGTGTAAACATCCCAGCAAGGGAGGAGAGTGTGGTGTTGGGGACAAGGGGTTTATGCTGAAGGAATGGGGAGAGATTTTTCTAAAAGGAAAAAATGAGGCTGCGGAGAAGTTTCCTAGACAACGGGTCGCGGAACATTTTCTCAGGGAGACGGGAGACGCTTCCCTGCTTGAAACTGAAAAATGGATGTGGGATGGGCTTCTCCTTCACGGCCCTGAGGACAGACGGGCCTGGGCAGGAAGGACAACGGGGTGAGGGGGACAAAGACCTCTGGCCGTCCAACTTCCCACTTAAGGACAAGTTCTATTTGCCCTGTAATATTATGCAAATTTGCCTTTGCTTTGAAATGCCTGCCCCAACCCCTCCCCGCAACACATTCTTCACCACAATCACCTCCCCTGGCTGCACGTGCGGTTTTAAAATCACTGAAAGGGCCTTTCTTGCACTGAAATAAGCACCTGTTCTGCCTCACTTACCGTGTGACATAAAGACACACTTAGGAATGATCTCGCTCGTAACACGCCCATAATCCCCAGACGCCACGGGGAAAGGATGGGGGTAGTGACTCTGCATAGTATGAATTCTGAGTAAGAGAGCTAGCGCTTGGCCTCAGTTTCTCTCATCTGTAAAATGGGACAGTGACTGTACCACAACATTCGGGGGTTTGTGAAGATTGAGTAAGTTCGTCCTGGAGGACTCTGCCTTCCACTGCCTCCACCTCTTTTCTATTTAGAGGAAGGTGGAAGGAATGATTGCCGTGTCCCCAGGGTCACGGGTCCTGGCCCCTGCCCCAGCCCTGTATGCTCAGCCAATCCTTCAGGGTTTGTACTCCTCAGCATACACGCAGCGTGACACGCCTCGACAAGTCTGAACTTGTCCCCACTTCTCAGGTGCCTGGCGTCCGGCAGCAGGCCCAAACCCCACGCACCCTTCAGAATACGCTGAGAGGTGTTTTTCCTTATCCTACCCCTCAACATCCTGGAAGCATCCATGACCCTGTGCTCCTCCGCAGAGGCTGGAAAGCGAAGCATGCAGAGGGTCTCCGGACCGGAATTCCAGCTCATTTATAAGCCAGAGCACCTTGGGAATGGGATCTTTACGTGGCTTGGACTCAGATTCTGTCAAATTGGACAGTACCAGAACTAGCACATTAGTTGTCGTGAAAACAAGGGGAGCTCTTGTGTGGTATAGCAGGTTACAGTCTGAACTGCTTACCGGAAGGCTGGCAGTTCAAATCTCCAGCTGTTCCAAGGGAGGCTCTCTGCCACTGGTGAGATTTACAGCCTCAGAGACCCGATGGAGGGTCACCATGCGGTGGGAAGACACACCAGCCGGCAGTGTTTCTATGTTTCACATGCTCTGTGTTCCCTGGGATCCCTTCAGGGCTCTGTAAGCACCTGGGGCTCTTCCCCGCCACTGCACCGTCTCCATGTTCTATACAGAGCAGAGCCACCGCGGCCCAGTGCCTGCCGGCCCCACGCTGTACCTGCTGCCTGGGTAGAAGGCCTGCGTTTCTGAGCGCCGTCACCTCTGCAGCCCCCAGTGTGGGGTGTGAGCAGGGATGTGAGAGCTGCTGCCCGAGGCAGCCCTGGGGTGCCCGCTGAGACGTACCTTCAAACACGGCGAAGAGAGGGAAGAGCCCCAGGAACATGAGCGGCTGCAGGTGGAACATGGTGTCAATGGGGTTCTGGAGCCCTGCAGGATGGGGAGACGGACAGCGGCCTGTCAGGAGGCCCCGCCTGGATCCTTGGCCCTGAGGCCTCCGCCCTCCGCCCCGCATGGGCCCCAGGCCCTCTCTGCACAGAGCCTGCGCTCACCCAGCTCAGCCTTCTGCAGAAGCATCTGTGTGAGGGTCCAGCGAATGCCGCCGATGAACGAGGCGCCCAGCACCAAGGCGAAGCCCTCCATGTTGAACTGCGTGGACTTGTAGGTGAACATGAAGAGGCCCCCAGCAATGAGGAGGACCACCAGGACCAGAGCTGCTCGCTGGACAGGGAAAGGCGGCAAGTGACTTGGGGTCCAGGTCAGGAGCTCACTGTACCTGGGAGGCAGCAGCCTTCTTGGCTGCCCCCTGGGATAAGAAACCTCTCGTCCCCCAGCCCTGGTGGGTTGGTCCTAGACAGCTCCTCACCCAAGAAGAGCTGACATTCAGCCATATGGACTCAACAGCTCCCCCTGCTGGAAGGATTGAAATGCTTCCCTTTGCCTGCCCTCTGGTGGCCTAGTGGATAAGGAGCCGTGCTGCCAATGTAAAGGCACATGGTTTGAATCCACCAGCTGCTCCACACGAAAAAGATGGGCAATCCTCTCCCAAGCCATTTACAGCCTCTGAAAAGCTGCTGGAGGGTCAGCTAAGGGTCAGCTCCAATTGTACAGTAATGAGTTAGATTTGTGAAATGGCTCTCACCCCGGCCCTGCACCTGGTCAACAAAGGGTTAATGCCTGGTGCAACAAAGAGCTCTCAGCCCCTGACTCTCCTTCACCCTCCTCCTGTGGCCATACCCTGCCCACCAGGCTCCAAAGAGCCCTTTCTCAAAGAAGGAAACTGGCCACCTGGGCTGGCCTGCCTCCTCAGTCACACATAGTGACAAGCCACGGTTCAGATTCTCTTTTTGATTCTAAGCCTCTGCAGGGGCAAGAGGGACAGGAGTGACACAGGGCCTCACCAGCTCCTCCAGCTTGAAGATCAGAGAGAAGATCAGGATGAAGAGGACAGCTGAGGATTTGGTCATTGTGTACCTGCAAGTGAGAGATGCCCAGGATGCACTGCTGGAGCCTGGGGCTCAAGACCTGCCGCCTCCCTGCCCCCACAGCATCAGGGCGGGGAGGAGCATGGGGGACGAGCCCTGGCTTCCCCCATGGCAGCTGGCTCTCCTCAGGGCAGCAGGGTACAAGGGGCCAGAGAAACCGCCTGCGTCACCTGGGTTGATAAGTGACTGCTTTTTTGGATGAGTGACCTTTAATCGGAAGAAATCTCAAGCTAAGAGGCCTCCGATTATCAGCAGGAGAGCTGGCTGACACAGCTTACCAGGCCCATTGTTTACCCAGCCCTCCTTGGAGACCAGACTCAGGAGGAAGGATCAGAGAGGAGGAGAAACAGCAGAGGCAGGGATCTTGCTTGGAAGGAAAAAAACCAGAGCTAAGCATGAACTATGTGTGTGCCCACGCGTGTTAAAGTGGCCTGAGCACCGCAGTCCCTCCCTGGTCTCAGACCCCTGCCATGATGGCCCTAACCACCTCACTTGGGTTCTCTGGCTTCCCCAAGCCGAGGGGAAGTGGGACAGAATCCCCTCTGCGTGGGGCTTTCGGAAGATGCCGAGATTTCCAGGATGGCTGCTGGAGAAGCTGAGTGCAAAGGTAGGTCCCAGCCTGGGGGGGCTGCAGCCAGCCAGGACAGAGAGGGAGGGTGCCCTGCGGCCGGGACTCACAGGGAGACGGTGATGTACAGGAAGCTCCAGTTGGACAGGCCCACGTCAAGCGCCGTTGCCAAGGCTGTGGAGACACGGGCCCGGTGGACTGTCAGCCTCCAGTCAGGACAGGCCAGGCTTCAATACTCCCCACCTCACTTCTCTAGTCCTTCCTAGAGCCCTTAGTGACTCTTCCCCCTCCAGCAACCAGGGGACATACAGGTGGTAGAGAGGTGACGGAGAGGTTCTGGATCAGTGCCAGGGCCCCTTCTGATTGGTCAGGCCCAGAGCTGGCTAGTATTCTGACCATGCGTGTGTGCATGTGCCTGTGTGCGTGTGAAGATCCTGTCCTGTCAGGTTCAGACTCCTGTCTCGCTCCCACTTCCTGCCCAGCCCTGGGCTCCTAGCGCGCGGACACTCTCAGTTCCCTTTCTGCACACAGGGCTCTTCTGGGTGGGCCAAGGCCGATGCCCCCACTGCTGCCTTCTCCTTGATAGCACCTGCTCAGGGCGTGGCCACTGTGCGTGCACCTTCATATCCTCTATAGTGTCTGCCTGGGGTGAGGCCCCTCCTTGTGCACCTCCATTTCCCTTCCTAGCACCTGCCCAGGACGAGGCCACTGCGGGTCTACCTCCATCTCCCCTAGAGGACCTGCCTGGGGCGAGACCCCCTCCTGGTGTACCTCCGTCTCCCCTACAACACTGTGATGGGGTGAGGACCTGCTGTGATGCCCACTGTGCCTCCAGGCTGAGTGCCTGGGTTGGGGTGTGTGCTGATGGGGGAGCAGACTCAGGTCTCTGCCACTTCTGGGACATTCCTGGGGGTGAGTGGGATGGAGGAGCATAGGCAGGGGAGACTGAGGCAGCCCAGAGTGGGGACAAAAAGGTGGCTGAGCACCATGGCCTTGAGGGCCTCCTTCAGCCTTGGCCTCTGGTTTTCCACGCCCCCCACGCCCCAGGGCACACACCTGTGGGAGCTACTCTTCTGAGGTAGTCGGCCCAGCTCAGCACCACTCGCGCCCTGTGGCTGGAGCACTGCACCAGAGCCCGGGACAGGGCAGAGAACAGGAAGATGACGGCCAGGTGCAGCATCGTCATGAAGAGGGGGAAGTGGAAACTCTGCACAGAGCCAAACACAGGACACCAGCCCGGCTCAGACAGGACGGTCCCAACAACAACCCCCATCCCCCATTTGAGCCTACTCTGTACTAGACCAAGCACAGGACGGTCCCACCAGCAACACCCCCCCACCCCCAGCCTGC